ATCCCTCTTCCCCATCTTTAATTATGGTACTAAAATAGACAAAAATTTGAGGCCTCATTTCGGCCCTGGTCGTATGCCGCCAAAAAGGTGGCTGCAAGGTCAGTTCCCGCGATACCTCTCCGCGGCAGGCCAATCCGGGTCTACCCCTCTGAACGGCCGGAAAAGACGGTCCGTTGATGTGCCGTCCGCAACCACCCATCTTGCCATCTTTGAAGGTTACCCGTTAGGTTCAGCGCGCCCAAAATCAAGGGCCCCCTGAGCTCCCCTAATTTCCGTTGCGCGGTCTAACAAGAGTACCGTCAAAACTCAGACTCGTCTCTCCGCCTAAGTCCCAAACCCGTAGATTTCAGGCGGCCACAAGCAGTGCGCCGCCTGACACCGTAACCGTTGTGGGAGGGCGGGCCGTGATTTCGACAGGACGGGTCATTTTTGACCGGTCGATCGTGCTATATCGACGGTTCCAATGCATCATCTGGCGGGAATTTTCCCGCCCACTTTTGTTTCGAGGGGCCCACGCGGATGTATCCGCCATTCGAACCAACGTAGCGCCATTCCGGGAATTTGCGTCAGAACGCTTTAGCCGCATGCAATTGTTGGTGTCGCCAACCCATACGGCGGACATTGCCCGTCTCGTGCACACACCATCCGCCCTTGCCAGCGCCATAGCCATCCCGTCGCCATCTCCCTCGCGTCGCCGTCTCCCTCGCGTCGCTTTCTCTCCCTCGTCGCCATATCCCTCGCGTCGCCATCTCCTTCGTGTCGCAATCTCCTACGTCGCCATCTGTGGTGTCGCCGTCTCCCGCGTTTGCACCACCCGCCTCGACATCTCCCGCTTCGCAATCTTCAGCGTCGCCGTTTCGCACGTCGCGATATGCGTCGTCATATTGTGGGTTAGGATCGGCACCCACGTCGCCGGGGCCGTTGTCTTCCAACAACAGTTTTAATCAAAGGAAGGAAAAGGTGTGTTCTCTCTCTCTTTCTATCTCTCTTTCTCATCTCTCGCTCTCTCTCTCTCCCATGTGATGCTTCGATAGTTATAGCCATCTCTAAGTCCACATAAACGGATCTCTCTCTCTCTCTCTCTCTCTCTCTCTCTCTCTCT